GCACAACACTGCGTGGGACGTACTGCAGGGACTCACTGTCAAATGCGGCGTGCCCACGGCGGGAATCATTCTTAATCCGAGTATTCAGCGCGTCGTGTAGAGACTCACCAGACAGAAACGAATATCTGGCATTCATTTGTTGGAAGCCAATCATAATCGTCAGGAGAAAGAGGCAACAGACACAAACACGAGCTGTGCCCCATAGGGGGCGGTGTGCCATGGCCGATGCGCTACTGTGGAGAGAAGAGAGTGAGGGGAGAGAATGCACCAGGCAGCTGCAGCAGTGGGGGTGGGCGGGTGAGTGCCAACAGCAGCAGCAGCAGCAACGCGTCACGCAGAACACACATCAACCACAGCCATCCTGCGGGACTGCAGGCACCTCCATCAACCAAGCACAGAGGATGCAGTGTGATAGCAGTGCACTCTGACGTATCGGCCAGTGATAGCAAGGCGCCCCAGGCAGCAGGGCACACAGTAGCGTGTAGCGGCAAACGGCCCAGGGGCTTCCTCCTGCAGCTCACCAACAGCAAAAGCACTATGCACACATGGGAATGGCCTAGGTGCTACCTCTCCTAAAGAAGAGAAAGAAGAAACGTATGACATACATGCCGTGCTGTCTCCGCCACACGTTGTGCTCCAACAGACGGCCCAAAGAAGGCCCCGTCCATGAATTCGTTATATATACTGCCGAAAAAGAAAGTGCTGGAGGCGTATTTAAACCCCCACCCGCGCGAGGGGTATTGAGATGGCTGAGGTGGGGTTACAACACTTACACCTGGTGACCATTATGGTCGTAATGGCCATAACGGACCAATATGAATTTGCCACGCATAAGATTTTATCATTCCCCTCGCCGCCTTCCAATGTGAAATATACAAATTAAGAAAGTATTTGCGTTGTCTATTCTTTAACAAACCAACTTAATTAGACCATTATTATACCACCTCCAGTACGACGTATTAGATACATTGCTCCCANTATTTGCGTTGTCTATTCTTTAACAAACCAACTTAATTAGACCATTATTATACCACCTCCAGTACGACGTATTAGATACATTGCTCCCAAAAAAATCCAATAGCTTTGCGTAACTATCTTCCGGTGGGATGTGAAGGGCGAGGGATTTTGGTGTAGCTACAAGCTCACCTTTCCACCCAAGCCCAACGTGGTAGCGACACCAACCATCCTCCACAAACACCATAGACGGGTATCGTACCTCCAACCGTAGTAAATGCCCCACCATCACGTCCTCAGCAGTCATACTAAATTTGAAGAACTCAATCTCTGTCTCATTGTTGTAGGGCACATCCACCAGCCGTCGCACAGGCTCGAACGACACAAGCTGCTGGACCACGTCCCTCGCAAGAGTGTAGAGCATCCCGGAAAAGTAATAGAAGGGGATAGTCACATTATTCTTTCGTGCAGTTGCGTCGACAGGCAATCCCCAATACAGCCCACGGCGAGGCAGCGTGCGCAGGTCGGCGAGGTACTGCGGTACGCGCAGGAATGAGTCATCATCGGCCTTCGCNCGCAGCGCCATGTCGAACCACAGGAACACCTTGCGGCTCAGCCCGATCTCAGCCTCATTGCCCCACTTGAGGCCACCACCAACCGTCTTGTTGGTCGATGGGCGCCCCTCATTCATCGGCAGCGCAATCACATCGTTCCACTCCGCCGCCTCCTGCTGCAGCGCCAAAGAGTACGTGAAGTTGTGCGACGGGTGCCGCCCAAACACGTACAGCACCAGCATCGCACCGCTGAAGTTGTTTGCTCTCGTCGCCACACCGGGGAACCGCCAGCACGACGTACGCTGCAGGCAAGGGCGGCTCCGCTTTCCATGACTGTCCACCGCTCGAGTTCTATGCGTAATAAAATGTTCATGTTCAGTCCAAGCACTGAGGGAAAGCCAAAAAAAGCTGTTTGTAACAGAATAAATTATATGTGTGGGCTGGCGTCAGTGATGAAATGTGATGTTGGAAGCTTCGTGGGCGAAGTGTCTCTCGTCGTGTTGACGAGGTGACTGATTTTGTGTGATAGCAGGGCGCATACTGTGCCCGTTGGATAGTAGGACTCGAGTCGTCTTTATGCCAATGGTTGTTTGACGAAATGGCGGGCGTTCCGCATTTGAAAAGCAAAGATGGAAGAATAAGGCCACATCAGGGAAGCGCCTACCCCACGCACATGGAAAATATAAAAAAGTCAGTGTATCACAGCATCTTGTAGATTCTTACAGTACACCGAAGAGTAGTACCATCCCATGTAGGAAAGTGTGCGGGGCAGACAGCACGTCCCACAGCTGGGAGGTGAGCGCCGGTTAGGATGAACCCAACCCTCACGCAGTGCGCGGTGGCACAGGGAAGCGCAATCGCCACACCCACACACGGCAAGGCCCCACACTTTCAAACAGCAGTCTGCGTCACCAGCACCCAAAGTGGCCAGCGGGTGTCTTTGGGTGCACACATCAACACTTCAACAATACGGAGCTCAATAGTGAAAACAGTTGTAGTGCTGCTGACACAGATGGCCATCATAAAACAAGAATCAACCAGAAGACCGCTAGACGAAGGGCAGTTCAACCAGCATGGTATGGCCAAGCACCACTAAGCCGACGTCCCAATGTAGACTTAACAACACGTATACACCGAGCACAGCAACAATTAAAACGGTCGTCTTAAAGCACGTCTCCCATGCAGCAAAAAAGTAAAGTGAAAAGCACACATTTGTTTTTGTAAACCCACACATAGAAAGAGAAAACACTATTGAGGACAATAAACTACATCACAAGGTCTCACGTTGCAGAAACGTACCGAAAAAAAGTATAAACACCATTTCCAATCAGCAGACGAATTCGATTCGACGTCGCATAATCTTACGGTGCCTTGGAACAGTTCGACTAACATTACGGAATCGTCTCATCAACTCTTCGTAGTCACTCTCCCATAAGTGATGCACCATAACAGAGCTAGACTGAACAAACCCCATCGCAGGTCCGCTATGAATATCATGGAAGGAGCAGCGCGGTTCCCTTACAAGCACCAACCGCCGGGCATATCCAGATTTCTTCAATGCAAGCCCAACCATTGCATCTTCAGAGTGAACCTCCATATTAACATACTGGGTATCTAGCTCCTTGGCATATGGTATACGCACTAAGCGCTCCAACGGCCCATAGGACACAAATTGATGGGCAACGTCACGTGACAGGGTGTAGCACGCACCGAATGCGAAAGGAAACCTTACCGATGTGTTGTTTCTCCAGACTCTTGGTATGTATATCGTTCCCCAATACACCCTTCGACGAGGCAGCGTGCGCAGGTCGGCAAGGAACTGCGGAACACGCAGAATCATGTCGTCGTCGCCCTTCGCGATGTACATCCCATAGGGAAAGAGACGCAGTGCCAACTCAAACCACACGAACACCTTGCGGCTCAAGCCGACGCCAACCTCTATGTTCCAATAGCCAGAGGAACCTGCCGCCCCGTTCGTGAACGGGCGCCCTTCATTCATCGGCAGCGCAATCACATCGTGCCACTCCGCCGCCTCACGCTGAAGAGACGCGGAGTACGTGAAGTTGTGCGACGGGTGCCGCCCAAAGACGTACAGCACCAGCATCGCGCCGGTGAAGTTGTTTGCTCTCGTCGCCACACCGGGGAACCGCCAGCACGTCGAGCGCTGCAGGTAACGGCGCCTCCGCCTCACATCGATGTCCACAGATGGGATGCCAAACACAATCAGGTAGTCACGCTCGGACCACGCACGCACTACATTCTGTGGGACATATTGCAGCGACTCATCACGGCTAGTGGCATCTTCGCGGCGTGGCGACTCTAGGGTGATAACGCTGGTAGTGGCATCAGAGTGAACGTCCCCCAAATGAAGCCAGGATCCCACGTCTACGCGTACAATAAGAAGCAGAACGACCAACACCACAAGGAAATACACAAGGATAACAGTCCACCTCCGCAAACTGCGCTTTGTCTCGGCCATTGTCTTTCTGTCGAGTAGAGAATGAATGATGGGTCTATTGGTGCCACGAGAAACACGAGGTACAAGCATCAGCAGCAAACGAATTGATACAAATCACCTCTATGCCCCTTAACACTCCAGCAGAATTCACTTTCCAGAGGGCATGCCTACTCCCCCAGCCACACACCGCATGGAGTGAAGCCACCGCGTGGCATAAAAAAAAAAGGGAAGCAACTTATAATATATTCACCGCGCGGCTCAGGGGGGAAGCATAAAGCAGATACAAAAGTGGCTGCAGAAAGTACTGAGGCGCAAAAGGGGAAAAAAAAACGCCTAAGAAACACTGCAAAAGCGAATTCGTAAACACAAAATATACATGGAGCATAAGGAACCGCATTACGAAAAGGCAGACAAGATTAAATAAAAACGGGAAGACAGAACAAACGGATGCACAAGACACACAACTGGCACAAAGCGTCCATAGCAAGAAATTAAAGTTTAACGTAACGCCCAGTCTTACCAGAGCAGAACATTGTAAGAGACCTACGTGACTGACTGTACTTCTTAACGGTCTGCGTTTTAAAGCCCCTCAACCGCGCCATCAAAACACTGTATTCAGCCTCCGTGACGTGATGTATCACGACGGAAAATTGAGTGACCTTATGGCCATGCGATCCGTTACGAAGATTGTGAAAACGGCACTTCTTTTCTTTAGCGAAGATCAGGTGAGGATACTTCACCTCGTGCAAAGCACGGCCCACCATCACATCCTCATGATCCATATTTAAGGAAAGAAACTCCGCCTCTCGGGCCTTGCTGTAGGGCAGACGCACAAGACGCTGCAGCGGTTTGTACGACACGAACTGCTGCACCACATCCCTCGAGAGTGTCATGCAAAACCCAACTACCATTTGAAACCTTACCGGGGACTTGGCAGTATACAAGGCACCCCAATAAACTCCCTTGCGCGGCAGCGAGCGCAGGTCGGCGAGGTACTGCGGCACGCGTAGAATCATGTCGTCGTCACCCTTCGCGATGTAGCTCACAGTCGGGAAGAGACGGAACGCCAGCTCGAACCAAAAGAATGTCTTGCGGCTCA